TGAAATCAGGTTGCTAAAAGAAATTGCAACTGGGGAAGGCAGGATGGAGGGCTGTTTTGTTTGAGGATTTGACTGGGTCATTAAGATTGGGAGGTCCCCATAAGTTTGGGGAGACCCAGTGCTTTGTTTTATTTTGGTTTGCATGGAGCGTCAGACCCTTCTATAAGTTTAGGGGGTCTGATTGCTCTGGAGGCTGGGAATTGTCCCCATAAGTTTGGGGAGACCCAGTGCTATGGTTTTGCATGGAGGGTCAGGCTGTTCTATAAGTTTAGGTGGCCTGACTACTCTGATTTGGGAAGGCTGCATGTGGTTGATTTTTCAAGGATCAAGTGCGTTCTGTAAGTTCAGGTGTCTTGGTCGCCTTGATTATTTGGGTTTTCCTTCTGTTTATTTGGTTCTGAACGAGGAGGTCTAAGTTGTTCTATAAGTTTAGGCGGCTTAGCCTTTTCCTACTTTTATTCTGAGAAAATGAACCTGACAGAGGGCAGATTATTCTGTAAGTTCATGTGATCTAGCCCAATGCCACAAACATAATGGATCAGAGAGAAATTAATCAGGCAGAGAGTCAGACTGTTCTGTAAGTTCAGGTGGTCTGACTCAAAGCCTCGTACATGCTGGAACCCAATGGTTACAACTTGGCTATACTTTACTATTATTATCTTTTAGAATGAGCTAATCAGACTGTTCTATAAGTTTAGGTGGTCTGACTATAGCCTATCACAACTTGAAGAGAGTATAATTAATAATAAAATTGGTGGTAAGTTGGGGCAGGTTGAACTTAAGTTAGTTCAGTCATATGCAGCCTTAGAAGACAAAGGGAAGAAAGTTATATATAACTTGGATACGTTAAATAGTTCAGGGCGACTAGAATAGCCTAGTCATGTGCCCAAAGAAGAGAAAAGTAGTTGTGCGCTGTGTTTGTGTATATCCACTGACAAAGTCAGGTTCGTTCCATAAGTTTGGGTATCCTGACTCTATTCCTGACTAAGTAAGGCACATTTCATAAGTTTGGGTGAGCTGACCTTATGCCTTATGTAAGTACGGTATAAAGGGTTAAATTACCAAAAGATTATGAATTATTGTTTGCCCAGATGAACTTGGGATGGTGAGAGGACTTACCTTTGTGTTTGCCTTGCATGTGGCTGAGTGATTTCACTACCTTGCCTAAGTTTCAATTTGATAGGTAGTTGCTTTAGCTGCTCGCCATGTGCTGGACCGATAGGAGTTAGTTTCAATTCCTGTATTTTCTGTAGTAACTTCTTTTTTTACTTAGATCAATTCTTGTATTTTCTGGGATTTTTTCCTGCACTTGGCTTTGTATAAATCTTGACAAGCTACTTTCTCTACGGGAAACACTGCCGAAATTTCTACAAATCCAAGGAGTTAGTCGATTTTTGACTTGTCAACGTTCAAACTTATCTTTTCTTTGTATCTGACCTAGTAAACATCTGGAAAACCTCTTTTTCTAAAGGGAGCGCAACCCCAAATTTTACCATTTCAGGGAGTTTAACAAAATTGGACTTTGAGAAGTCAAAGTTATTATCAAATTCTGGACTTAGCTTTGTATAAATTTTGGGAAAGCAGTTTTCTAGAGGGAGTGTTGCCGAAATTTCTGCAAAACTAAGAAGTTAGTTAAATCTTGTCCAAATTGAACCCAAGTTGTCTCTTGAGTTCATATCTGAGTTAGTATAAATCTGGGAATTCTCCCTTTTTCGAGGGAATGTTGCCCAAATTTCTACTAATTCAGGGAGTTAGACAAAATTTGACTTTTCATAGTTAAAGATTATTTATGCTTTCATATTTGGACTAATATAAATTCTAGAAAGACACTTTTTCTACGGGAAGCGCTGCCAAAATTTTCTTAGTTTAAAGGAGATAAATTTTATTTGACAGGTGACGATTTTGGTAGTTCACTCTGAATAGGGGAGATTTTGCCACGAGTCTACCTTTTTTGGGCACTTGCCTAGAGGTAGGCTTAGATATAGTTAACTAGAATAAATTGGGTGAGATTATGATAAGGAGATTGTTCTCCATGAAATTAATAGGTTTAGCCTGGGGCATTGACCTGTCATGTGTTACAGTTTCTCTTGACCGTTTGATTCAAGTTCAGGACTAGATTCAGCTTGATCCCTTGAGGATCATCTTCTGTTATAACTGACATTTCGTTAAAACTGACATTTTTTTCTAAAATCGCGAAATTGAATCAAGTGAGAAATGTACAAAATTTTCCTCCGAAATCGCGACTTCTGGTTTATATATAGACCATGGTATGTTGTAGTCGTATGGTACCACATGGACCATATATGGTAGGTGAACTATCATGTACCACACACCATTAGGGGTACATCATGCTGCATACACCATATATATGCACATCATACCGCATACACCATACATATGCTTATGGTATATGATACATTTTTGACTTCCATCCTTTTGCATTCTGCTCTCCACATAGACCATACATATGCAGACCTCACATTGACATCTACATGTTGTCTCACTATGTAGAAGTTTCATGTTTGTGTCGCTGTATTTGCGATCTGTCAGTTAAAGCATTTCATATTGTACATAACATTGTACATTTGCAAACTGGCATAAGTGACTTGCAACCGAACAATTCAATGACTGTCACCTTTCAACCGCTTCAATCTTCTCTGCAATCTGTCACATGTTATGCATCCTCTCTAGTTGCTACTGAGTCTAGTGCGATCCATCGTCTAATGCGTTGGATATCATGCATATCAAATTCAAATGGTGACAAACGACCTCTTCCCAAAAGAGATGTGTATGCTAGCACAAATACTCCACACTGATGAATGTTTTTTTGTTTCGGGATACCAACCACCTCTAATACCTTTTTGAAACGTTTAGTATTGACTTGTTTTCCTCGTTGTGTTGATCGATCGTACACGTACCTCGCGAAGTTATTGACTACCTTTTTTGCAACGTCAGAGTTTGGTTCCATGGAATCGTAGTACTCTGTAACTTTTCGTCGAAGGTCTACTGCAACAAGTGTCCAATGCTTTTCATGAATGTTATGGTATGGGGCTAAAATCAAGTCAGTATCTGTGATCAATACGTCTTTGAACCATTTAGCTACTTTGTCATAGTGATATCCGACGTTGTCATCCATGAGCTTGACAAAAAGGAAAGAGTTACATACAGTTGTTCGCGGAATCAAACCCTTTGTGTACTTCGTGGACATGTTAGATTGCGTATCGCACTGTCGATGAGAAGTCCTACACATGTTGTCAACCTTTATCATATTGCTGTAGAAGTTTTTAATGTCATCGTTTAACCATCGTGTGCCACTCATTAGGATGCTCATATCGTGGACCGTGAATCTTAACTCCTCTCGCGTCGTTGGATTCTTGGTGCTTGACAGTGTTTTGTAATTGTTGAACTTATTTTCCCATTGCCGCAATGCATCTTCTTCCGACTCGGTGAAAACATCCGTTGCCAATTGAATAGTCCACCCGTATTTACATCGGCGTTCGCCTTGGACGTGTAGCAATGTCCCTCGTTCACACCACAATGGGATTGCTTGTTATTAAAATGTGAAGTCATTGCATTATCAATTACGTGTTCGYGATCGTGTGTGTGTGTGTGTGTGTGTGTGTGTGTGTGTGTGTGTGTGTGTGTGTTTGTGTGTMGRGAGAGAGAGAGAGAGAGAGAGAGAGAGAGAGAGAGAGAGAGAGAGAGAGAGAGAGAGARAGAGAGAGAGACACATATCTACCAACTTCTTATATCATTCCATCACTACATACACCGAAGACAGCAACGATTCGAAATTCTTAAACCCGTCTCGTGTTCTCCATACATAAATAGCATAATCTGATACACAAACTGCTGTATTTTTCTCGATCAACACAATCTATATATAATTTATGCAATCCACGGTTCCATTTCCTTGTCAACAACTCGAAGCATACTCGAAATGTAATATGTACTGTGTTCAACCGGCACAATCGACATATAAATCATGCCTCTCACTCATCGTTTCATACTATAAAATCCCATGCTCACCGGTGATGTAACACACACAGTCGCACACACACACACACACACACACACACACACACACACACACACACACACACACACATACACACACACACACACAAGCAAGTGTGAATGTAGGCTGACATCCACGTACACACATGCACTATACGTTGTATTGTGCTTTCTTCTCCCTGACTCTTTTTGAACGTCGCATTCTGCAATCCTCTTTTTCCTTGCCTGCTTTTCTTTTTCTACCGCTTATTCCCTCACTCGCTTCGCTCAAATCACGCTCTCTTTCTTGAGACTCCTCCCCCNTTCTCCCTGACTCTTTTTGAACGTCGCATTCTGCAATCCTCTTTTTCCTTGCCTGCTTTTCTTTTTCTACCGCTTATTCCCTCACTCGCTTCGCTCAAATCACGCTCTCTTTCTTGAGACTCCTCCCCCGACTCTTTCGCTTATTCCTTGTCAGATGTTTCTTCGTTCTCACCTAACTGGTCCACCAAGTTGATCACACTCTGACTCTTGTTCGCCTCCTCTTCATTCTCATTTTCCTCCTCCCTCTCCCTGTTTGCCGTGCTTGGAACCTTTTCATGCTCTGCCGCACTGACACCCTCCACGTCAGCTCTCCTCTCTCCCATTGTTGACTCCGAAACTATTTGCGTTCCTGGACCAGTGCATTCCATAAGCACTGGTCCTTCCCCCCCATCTTTCTCATGTGCACTTTGCTCCCTGGTGTCTTCGTCGGTACCTTGCGCCTGTGCAGTGATGACAGTCGTATCGTGTGTTCCTTGTGACTGCTTGAAATGCGAATCGACATTCCCTGCCACCGCCTTCACTACCTCATGTGCCTGAAATTTTGACCCTTCTTCGTCTGATGCTTTTTGTCACTGGTCCTCTTCAATCTTTTCATCCTTCCCGTCATCGCCAACAACTTCCCCGCCTGCTGTTGGTGTTGTCGCATTTCTGACTCCCACTGCACTGATGCCCTCTGACGGTCTAAGTGTTGGTTGCGGTGTGCTCGATGGCCGCTCACTGAGCTCGTCTCCCATTGCGTTTTACATCCTAAGATGCTCTTCCTTGTCTGCCACATTCTCGCCACCACCTCGTGCTGCTGTTGAATCGATCTTCTTCCTTGCACCCGTGTGTCCCTCAAGACCTTGACTGCATCCCACAAGTATGTCACTGTCGTACATACAGTCCGTTGAACGGTAATCCACATACCATATGATAGCTCTATACGATGGACTCGATTTCTTGTCGTAGAATGCAGCACAATACTCGAGAACGTGATTTTCACGCAGGAATTCGAATAACGAGTTCACTTTGTTTGATATTTTGTGGTCTGGCGCCTCTCTGTTCGCTTGCTTCACGCGGGTAGACAAGTTGTCCTTTGCRATTTCATAAAACCTGCTYCTGAGGACTCTTYCCCTGAACAYCMATTTCCCACCCATTCGGATARCCATGTGCCATCTGCCATCAATCACACAAGGCTCGAAAAGACCTGGATGCCATATRATRTGATGCCCCCAGTCGTGTTCATATGACTCTTTGTACTTTGTTTCTAGAAAGTGAGGTCCTCCTTTCATCTCCTTCATGTCATATGATATATTATCACCCGGTGCAAGTTGTTTGGGGACGTCGTCCGGGATGTGAAAGAGGGGATCATCCTCTATGTCCATCCCATCTGGGTTGTCCACTGATTCCTTGTCTGCACGTGCAACATTTTGAGTCTCGCCGTCCGCCGCTCCTTCTATGTCATTGCGAACTCTCCTCACCAGTGAAACGAATCCTGGGGTAGCTTCCTTCATACCGCACTTGGATGTGCTGCCTTCCATTGCACCACCTGTTTTCGGCATTGTTCCACGCATCACATTATCGGGCCTGGTACTCGCGATAGTGCCGCCAACATCTTCCTCCATCGCTTGTTGACCACCCAAAGCGAACAGCGGAGGCGTTTCGTCTCTCACTGCATTTTGATGTGCATCCGGCAATGGCAGGTCAATCTCCTCATCCTCTGTGTTTTCCTCACTGTCCATAATATCAAACTGCTCCCCAACATCCATTACCTCGCAGTAAACCTTCGCATCAATTTTGACTCACTTTCTTTCAAACCACAGAAAAGATATCTCCACAGAGAGTCCCTCTTCTTGCCGAGCTTTAGGGACATGTCTCGGTCTGCACGATGTTGAGGTTTCGGGCGTTCAAAGTGACACCTGTTATTCGGATTGTGGACGTGGCGATCGATAAACAAAGTGGAGTACTCCATCAGGTTTGAGGAACCATCGTATGCGACGACATGGCGTCCTGAGCGCAGCAAGTCCCACGTTGTTCCTGCCTGAACGTTGCCCAGTAACAGAACACCTTTCCCTTCCTTCGAAAACCATGTGCATAAGTCTTTCATCTTTGCAGGTTCCCTCTCCCATATCCCGTACACAGGTTTGCTATTGCCTCGCACTCCAATTGCCTCTTTTGTACATCGTACAAATAACTCCTCAACGTAATGCGTGTCGAAGAGAGTGTTCCCACGAGGCTTTGCGACCGTGACATTTTTCAAGTCGTTGTCTGTATCGTGCAGCACAATGGTCATGTAGTCGCGCCCTCTCAACGGAAGGTTCCCAACTTGGGCGCAGGATGATKCTGCTTCGCTATAACGACGTGAGCACCCTGGAAGAACTCTCACACCGTCCCACCTGAAGACGTTCCTCAACACCGTTTCCTCAACTTTCAATGCGCTGAATATGATTAACGCCCAATGCGACCCGCACAACACCGTCATCATTTGGCGGAGCTCGTGAAACCTTTGCTCGCTTCATGCGTCGAGATTCTTTAACGGAGCCAAGTCCAATACTGCAAGGTGACAACTCAACTTTCTCACGGCATGAGTCAAATCTTATGTCGGGTGCAGTGCATCCATAGGTGTGATGCAGACAGGAAGATACATCGTGTAATCTTTGCACTTGTCCCACATTATGTGTCGAGCATATGAGCTGATCCGTCTCAGCTCGTCCCTCAATTGCTCAACTGCGCCCAGAATCTCATGCACGAAAAGCATGAGGAAGTACGGACACTCCAAATATATTGCAGTCGTCATCTTGTGCCCCCCGACATTTCCTTTTCCTTGTTTTGCCTCATCCACGCCGCCCAATCATTTCGGGACATCGATAGTCTTCTCTGCTACGATCTTGGACTTGGTTTCTTCCCATTTTTCTGTCGTCAACCCTCGTGGTGCAAACCGCCTCATTATGGTATCGTAGCCAATGAAGAATTTGTCATTTCACTCCTCCTCCGACCTCTGCTCTATCTTGAGGAGGACATAGTTAAACATGCGAACCATATATCTCTCCCTTCTCACCTCCACGTACAGGTCTTGCATGTTCATCAGTTTTTTCACAAATGCCCTTCCGCTCGTGACGACAACGTGTCCCGCAAGTATTTTCCTGAGGGCCATCTCCTTCTCCCTTGATGTGAAATCGCTGAATACCTTCCATGCGCTCGCGGGGGGATCATTGATGCAAACATAGAAACCCGGTGAGCTTTTGTTGGACTGGACGTAGTGCACCAACATTTTTTCGCCTTTCACCGTCTTCGCTACAGGGCCCGGTCCTACTGCCTCGCCTGCTTTCCCTTCCTGATCCACTGGTCTCACGCCGTCCTGCCTTGGCATGCCCTGGCAGTTCGCCTTTTTCCCATTTGTCAAAGAACTTCTCGACCAGATTCCACACAACCCTGCTACTCGCCGCAAGACACATGTAGGGCCTCAAAAGGTTTGACCAATTCCTCACAATTTTTTTCGCCAACGACTGGATCTAGAACGATGTGTTAGGAATCATCCGTATAGCTTTCCGTACGAACTCCTGATATTGGTCACGCTGTGCAGTCCTCTCTTGCACCGTCTTTGCCTAATGCCAATAACCTTTTGGCTCTTTCATACTCTGCCACAGTCCTCTTATAGCAGTCACAACCATTCGAAACGACGACGGGATAGCACGTGTCTCCCTGGTGTTGTCAAACGTGGAGATGTATGCATACCCCTCCAAATGGTCGTCGTCAAAATACAACCCGCGCCTTCCAAGAATGCACGCCCCACTTGTGGGCAGCAGACGATCTTGCAGCGACCAGCCTCTTTGCTGTCTCCGCTGTATGTTGGCCGGCCACTGTGTACCAATGGTAGGAGGCAACCTCGTCATCATCCCAGTCCTCCGGCTTCACACGTTCCCACCGCTTTTGACCATCCTTCTCCACTTCAACGATAGGAGCAAGAATCAAGGTGTTTCTGTCCCACTCCTTCTGCTTTTCGGGGTGTTCCATTACGTCCCTGATGGAGGTGACCAACATCTCGTTCAACGGCCTGTGGTTGTATTGCACGCCTTCCGAAGGGTTGGGCAGTATTTTGACCACGTCAACAAAAACTTGGGTAGGCCGATCTATCGCATTGCCGTCCTCGTCGTATTCCAGGAGAAAACATTTCGTGGTGTCGATAGTGTCGTTGGTCAACTCTCCAGGCCTTGACGCTGTATGTCTCGGGTCGMCCCCCGCCGCTTCGTCCCCAGAGTCCGCCACTTCCTTTGTCTCATCGGCCTTTGCTTTCTTCTCCAGCCTCTGGGAAGATCGAGTGCGTTCACGCTTTTCCTTTGCTGGTTTAGCGGATTGCGCCTCTAAGGATCTCTTGTAAGCCTCCTTTGAGGCCTGTAGGCTGATGAGCTTAGCTTGTCTCCGCTTCTCTTCCTCTGCTTTCCCACATCTCATTTTTCTCTTGCGCATGCACACAGACCTCTGTGTGCCATGCAACAGATCGTCATCTTCTGTCGGACCATCATGACTAGTGGCACGGGAAGACTGTTCCCGCCTTTTCTGTGACCCTCTATTCCCGTTGTCGTCGTCGTCCTCCCGACCCTCATCTCCTTCGCTCCCCCCTTCGTAGCTGTCTTCCCGTTCTGCGGCGTCCTCGTCACTTGCATCCTCATTTTCTTCGTCTTCACTCCCATCGCCGTCGTGACCACCATCCTCTTGGCCTTCACTACCGTCGCCTTCGTCCAAGTCATCCTCCAAGCTTCCTTCTTCATCGTGTGCACCGTCGCGGAACCGCTGTTCGTCCTCGTCCCCTTCCGTGTCTTTCGCGTCATTGCCATCGGCCCACCGCCCACCGTCCCACTGTTTAAAGTGCGAGTCCTCCTCTGTGTTTTCGTCATCATCCTCATGGCCAGTGGCCCCACCAGCCGGAGTCAAAGAAACGCGTGCCGCATAGTCTGCATGTGATGGTGCCTGCGTCGCAGACACACACTTCGGCTGGAGAAAAAAAGCTGATTTGCTCACGCTCTTTGCCTGTGTCGATGCGGCCCCACTTTTGCTCATACGGGCGGATGTTTTCGGCTCCCCACAACTCTTGCCTACCGCCTGTGGCGAACTCACAGACATGGTAGTTCGCAAAACGGCTTGGCCCATCGCCTGCAGCTTGTGCCGTCGCACCATGTCTGCGAAGTCTCCAAGATCACAGTCGAACGGCACGAAGGGAGTTGACAACTGCAACTTGTTGTCAATCGCCATGATATGGCTCGACACCTTATAGCAATTAATGCATTTGAGGAACTCGAACGGCCTTAGCATCACCATCTGCGAGGCATCCTTCTTCTTCGACTTGTCGAACGACGACATTGATGCAGCGCGGATGTCGTAACCTTGGAACTTGTCGACTTGGAGAGACACGAGCTTGTAGTTGTCAGACACCTCGTGACCATCGCTGTCGAAACACGTTGTCAAATGAAATCTCATGTACTCCTCGTCAGACATGTTCTTATCAAACGAGTACGTCTTGATACCCCCGCACGGGTAGTAACTGCCTTTCTCATCCCGCAAGAAAATGCATGGCCCGCAACAGGGGACCTTCATACCGACGTGCCAATTGATTGCCCCAATACTTCTCTTGGAACGTGACCGCCCTTCTGACAACCTTCGGCGTAGAGACCCCTGACGAGCAAGCAGCTCCATAACACCGCATCCGACACCGGCGTAATACACGGAACAAACAAACGTTAGTTGAAGATTCATCTAAGCATCCCAACCTGCGCAGACACTGTGTAACCTCGACGATATGGCGCCAGGCCCTGTGTAACCGTTGCACGTAATATCTGAGCAACATCTGCCTGTAATGTCTGTGTAACCTCTGCCTGTAATCTCGGTACAACGTCTACCTGTAATCTCTTCCACTGTCTAACCTCTGCCTGTAATCGCTGTGTAAGCTATGCCTGTAATCTCTCTGAATGTGCAACCTCGACGAGGAGGCGGCAGGCCCTGTGTAACATGTGCTTGTAATCTCTCTCACAGTATCCGGAGAAGAAGAGGAAGAGGAAGGCAAGGAAGAAGGAGGGAGGAGGGTCTGGTGACGTCGGGCCCTTCGATGGTCTGGCGCTTCGACGACGCCGGACCATCGGAGGGTCTGTATAACCACTGCCAGCAATCTCTCGCACTGTGTAACCTCGACGACGTGGCGCCAGGCCCTGTGTAACCGCTGCCAGTAATATATGAGTAACCGCTGCCAGTAATATCTGAGTAACCGCTGCCAGTAATATCTGAGTAACCGCTGCCAGTAATATCTGAGTAACCTCTGCCTGTAATCCCTCCCACTGTCTAACATCTGCTTGTAATCTCTCTCACTGTGTAACCTCGACGACGAGGCGGAAGGCCCTATGTAACCTCTGCCTGTAATCTCGGTTTAACCTTTGCCTGTAGTCTCTCCCACTGTCTATCCTCTGCCTGTAATCCCTCTCACTGTGTAACCTCTGCCAACAATCTCTCGCACTGTGAAACCTCTGCCTGCAAACGTTAGGTGAAGATTCATCTAAGCATCCCAACCTGCGCGGACACTGTGTAACCTCGACGACGTGGCAGAAGGCCCTGTGTAACCGCTGCCCGTAATATCTGAGTAACCTCTGCATGTAATGTCTGTGTAACCTCTGCCTGTAATCACGGTACAACCTCTGCCTATAATCTCTCCCACTGTCTAACCTCTGCCTGTAATCGCTGTGTAAGCTCTGCCTGTAATCTCTCTGAATGTACAACCTCGACGATGAGGGGGCAGGCCCTGTGTAACCTATGCTTGTAATCTCTCTCACAGTATCCAGAGAAGAAGAGGAAGAGGAAGGCAAGGAAGAAGGAGGGAGGAGGGTCTGGTGACGCCGGGCCCTCCGATGGTCTGGCGCCTCGACGACGCCGGACCATCGGAGGGTCTGTATAACCTCTGCCAGCAATCTCTCGCACTGTGTAACCTCGACGACGTGGCGCCAGGCCCTGTGTAACCGCTGCCAGTAATATCTGAGTAACCGCTGCTAGTATTATCTGAGCAACCTCTGCATGTAATCTCTCCCACTCTCTAACCTCTGTCTGTAATCTCTCTCACTATGCAACCTCGACGGTAGACCCTGTGTGACCTCTGCCTGTAATCTCGGTATAACATCTGCCTGTAGTCTCTCCCACTGTGCAACCTCTGCCCGTAATCTCTCTCACTGTGTAACCTCTGCCAGCAATATCTTGCACTCTGCAACGTGTGTTTGTATTCTCTCTCACAGTATCCAGAGAAGAACAGGAAGAGGAAGGAAAGGAAGAAGGAAGGAGGAGGGTCTGGTGACTCCTGGCCCTCCGATGGTCTGGCGCCTCGACGACGCCGGACCATCAGAGGGTCTGCAAAACCTCTGCCAGAAATCTCACACACTTTGTGACCTCGACGACGTGTGTAACCTCTGCCTGTAATCTTTCCCACTGCCTAACCTCCGCTTGTAATCTCTGTCACTGTGCAACCTCGACGACGAGGCGGCAGACCTTGTGCAACCTCTGTCTGTAATTTCTCTCACAGTATCAGGAGAAGAAGAGGGAGAGGAAGGATATAAGAAGGAGGGAGGAGGGTCTGGCGCCTTGGGGATGCCGGACCATGGGATGGTCTGGTGCCTCGAGAACGCCGGACCATCGGAGGCTCTGTGTAACCTCTGCCTGTGATCACTGTGCAAGCTCCGCGACGTCTCGAGAAAAACGGTCCATGGGATGGTCTGGCTGTGATCACTGTGCAACCTCGGCGACGCCTCGAGAAGAACGGACCATGGGATGGTCTGGCTGTGATCACTCTGCCTGTGATCACTGTGCAACCTCGGCGACTCCTCGAGAACAACGGACCATGGGATGGTCTGGCGCCTCCAAGACGCCGGACCATCGGAGGCTCTGTGTAACCTCGCCGACGTTGCACTGTGAACAGAGGCAGACGTTGCACGTTGTCGAGGTTGCACAGTGAACACAAGCACTGACCACGAGATTACAGTTTACCATGTCCAGGTTGCACTGTGAACACAGGCACTGACCACGAGATTACACAGTCGAGGTTGCCCGTCGTCGAGAGAACACAGGCAGACGTTGCACAGTGAACACAGGCACTGACCATGGAATGGTCTGGCGCCTCCAAGACGCCGGACCACGAGAACAACCTCGCCGACGTTGCACTGTGAACACAGGCAGACGTTACACAGAGCCTCCGATGGTCCGGCATCCTCCAGGCGCCAGACCATAGGATGGTCCGGCGCCTCCAGGATGCCGGACCATCGAACGCTCTGTGTAACCTCTGCCTGTGATCACTGTGCAAGCTCCGCGACGTCTCGAGAAAAACGGTCCATGGGATGGTCTGGCGCCTCGAGGACGCCGGACCATGGGATGGTCTGGCGCCTCGAGGACGTCGGACCATCGGAGGCTCTGTGTAACGTCTGCCTGTGATCACTGTGCAACCTCGGCGACGCCTCGAGAACAACGGACCATGGAATGGTCTGACGCCTCGAGGACGTCGAACCATGGGATGGTCTGCCGCCTCCGGGACGCCGGGCCATCGGATGGTCTGGCGCCTCCAAGATGCCGGACCATCGGAGGCTCTGTGTAACCTCTGCGTGTGATCACTGTGCAACCTCGGCGATGCCACGAGAACAACGGACCACGAGAACAACCTCGCCGACGTTGCACAGTGGACACATGCAGATATTACACAGAGCCTCCGATGGTCCGGCGTCCTCGAGGCGCCAGACCATAGGATGGTCCGACACCTCCAGGACGCCGGACCATCGAACGCTCTATGTAACCTCTGCCTGTGATCACTGTGCAAGCTCCGCGACGTCTCGAGAAAAACGGTCCATGGGATGGTCTGGCGCTTCGAGGACGCCGGACCATGGGATGGTTTGGCGCCTCGAGAACGCCGGACCATCGGAGGCTCTGTGTAACGTCTGCCTGTGATCACTGTGCAACCTCGGCGACGCCTCGAGAACAATGAACCACGGAATGGTCTGGCGCCTCGAGGACGCCGGACCATGGGATGGTCTGCCGCCTCCGGGATGCCGGACCATCGGATGGTCTGGCGCCTCCAAGATGCCGGACCATCGGAGGCTCTGTGTAACCTCTGCCTGTGATCACTGTGCAACCTCGGCGACGCCACGAGAACAACGGACCACGAGAACAACCTCGCCGAGGTTGCACAGTGAACACAGGCAGACGTTACACAGAGCCTCCGATGGTCCGGCGTCCTCGAGGCGCCAGAACATGGGATGGTCCGGCGCCTCCAGGACGTCGGACCATCGGAGGCTCTGTGCAACCACTGCCTGTGATCACTGTGCAACCTTCACGACATCTCGAGAAAAATGGTCCATGGGATGGTCTGGTACCTCGAGGACGCCGGACCATCGGAGGCTCTGTGTAACGTCTGCCTGTGATCACTGTGCAAGCGCCGCGACGCCTCGAGAACAACGGACCGTGGGATGGTCTAGCGCCTGGAGGACGCCATACCATCGGAGTAAAAATATAGACATGAAGAGGCTCTGTGTAGCCGCTGCCGGACCTTTGAAGTACAAATCTACACATTCAGAAATGGGATACCGAGGAGAAACAGCGGGCGCGTGCCTTACCTTTCGATGCCATCTCCACGTATAGGATGGGGTGTTGTTGCGGTGTCCTGAAACGGATATGTCACGATGCCTCTTGTCGGGCGATGCAGTTGCACAACCGGGTGGCGTTATGCAGCAGCCTTCATCGACGCTTCGTCTTCGTCAACGGTCCGCCTTTCATAACGCCAACCAAGGGACAATACATCGTGTCACTGACACACAGTGCGATTCAATGTCTTGTCATGGAAACCAGACCGCATCATACATATGACCATCAAGATCCGATCAAACAATCAATCAGTCAATCAGTCAATCAATCATTCGATAAAAAAATGAACGAAAACAGAAGTATCAAATCGAATCGATAGGATTGGATTCTGATTTCGGTTGAATCGATTCGATCGGATCGATCGGATCTTGATACGAAACCATCGACTCGATTCAATCGAAATCAAAATCCATTCCAATTGGATCGATTGGATGTTTTATTATCGTTCATTGATTGATTGATTGATTGATTGATTGACTGATTGAAAAAAAAAAGTCGGACAATCAATCAATCAATCAATCAATACAAAAAATTATACGGAAACGGAAGTATCGAATCAATCACCGGCGCTCGCATTGAATGTCCCGCGACGATGGTGGTACCTGAGGCGATGGTGTTAACTGGGGCGATGGTGGTAACTGAATCGCCACCGACATCAATCACCGCCTCCTCGTCTTTCTCCTCCTCCTCATCCCCCTCCTCCTCCTCCTCCTCCTCCTCCTCCTCGGCCCTTTCCTCTCTCTCTCTCTCTCTCTCTCTCCCTCTCTCTCTCTGTGTCAATCAAACAAACAACCAATCAAACAATCAATCAATTATCCATTACAAAAACAAACGAAAACAGAAGTATCAAATCGAATCGATCGGATTGGATTTTGCTTTCGGTCGAATCGATTCAATCGGATCGATCGGATCTTGATATCAGGATCCGATCGAAACCATCGATTCGATTCAATCGGAATCAAAATCCAATCCGATTAGATCGATTTGATGTTTTTCTATCGTTGATTGATTGATTGATTGACAAAAAAAAAGTCGGACACTCAATGCATCAATTAATCAATCAATCAGTCAATCAATCAATCCATCAATCAATACATAAAATATACAAAAACAGAAGTATCCAATCAATCAATAAAAAAAAGAACGAGAATATTCGATTGTGCTTGATTAAAAAAGATGGAAAAGAAATCAATCAATCAATCAATCACACACACACACACACACACACACACACACACACACACACACACACACAC